CCCAGGCTCTCCCCCCCAAAGCTTTCTTTCTCCCAGAGGCTCTCCCCCAGAGCTCTCCCCCAGAGCTCTCCCCATAGCTCTTCCCCTCTTCCTCCCAATCTCTCCCCAGAGCTCCCCCCCCAAAGCTTTCCTCCCAAGCTCATCCCCCCAGAGGCTCTCCCCCAGAGCTCTGCCACCCTATCAGCTCTCCCCCAGAGCTCTCCCCCAGAGCTCTCTCCCAGAGCTCTCCCCCAGAGCTCTCCCCCGGAGCTCTCCCCCAGAGCTCACCCTCCAGAGCTCTCCCCCAGAGCTCCCCCCCAGAGCTCCCCTCCAGAGCTCTTGGCGTGAAGGAGCTCCCAGAGGATCGTTCCCAGGGTAGTGAACAAAACATATCCTCCAGAGCGTGCGCAGACCTCTCTGGGAGAGCTAAACCAAGGAAAATTACCGATATACCGGATTCACATTCTCCCGGGCTCCGGCGCGGTGCCGGCTCGGGCTCTGATTCCGGCTCGGGCTCCGAACTTGGGCGAAACTCCGAGCTCGGGCTGGCTCGGTGAGCGACTGTGGCGCCGGTCTGCGTTCTCCTGTGGGCTTGGTTTGTGTCCCTTGGGTGCTCCTTTGGCCGCAGACTCTCTCAAGGGTGTCTGTTTCGAGCTCCCTTGAATGCTGTTTCGGCCGCGGGCTCTCTCAAGCGTGTCTGTTTCGAGCTCCCGTGGGTGCTGCTTCGGCCGCGGGCTCTCTCAAGCCGTCTGTTTCGAGCTCCCTTGGGTGCTGCTTCGGCCGCAGGCTCTCTCAAGCGCGTCTGTTTCGAGCTCTCTTGGGTGCTCCTTTGGCCGCGGGCTCTCTCAAGGGTGTCTGTTTCGAGCTCCCTTGGGTGCTGTTTCGCCGCGGGCTCTCTCAAGCGTGTCTGTTTCGAGCTCCCCTGGGTGCTGCTTCGGCCGCGGGCTCTCTCAAGCCGTATGTTTCGAGCTCCCTTGGGTGCTGCTTCGGCCGCGGGCTCTCTCAAGCGCGTCTGTCTCGATCTCCCTTGGCTGCTCCTTTCGCCGCGGACTCTCTCAAGGGTGTCTGTTTCGAGCTCCCTTGAGTGCTGTTTCGGCCGCGGGCTCTCACCAGCGCGTCTGTTTCGAGCTCCCCTGGTGCTGCTTCGGCCGCGGGCTCTCTCAAGCGCGTCTGTTTCGACCTCGCTTGGGTGCTGCTGCGGCGGGGGTCTTTCTCAAGCGCGTCTGTTTCGAGCTCCCTTGGGTGCTCCTTTGGCCGCAGACTCTCTCAAGGGTGTCTGTTTCGAGCTCCCTTGGGTGCTGTTTCGGCCGCGGGCTCTCTCAAGCGTGTCTGTTTCGAGCTCCCCTGGATGCTGCTTCGGCCGCGGGCTTTCTCAAGCGCGTATGTTTCGAGCTCCATTGGATGCTCTTGTGGCCGCGGACTCTCTCAAGGGTGTCTGTTTCGAGCAGCCTTGGGTGCTGCTTCGGCCGCGTGCTCTCTCAAGCGCGTCTGTTTCGAGCTTTTTGGTGCTGCTTCGGCCGCGGGCTCTCTCAAGCGCGTCTCTTTCGAGCTGCCTTGGGTGCTGCTTTGGCCGCGGACACTCTCAAGGGTGTCTGTTTCGAGCTCCCTTGGGTGCTGTTTCGGCCGCGGGCGCTCTCAAGCGTGTCTGTTTCGAGCTCCCTTGGGTGCTCCTTTGGCCGCAGACTCTCTCAAGGGTGTCTGTTTCGAGCTCCCTTGGGTGCTGCTTCGGCCGCGGGCTCTCTCACGCGCGTTTGTTTCGAGCTCCCTTGGGTGCTCCTTTGCCCGCGGACTCTCTCAAGGGTGTCTGTTTCGAGCTCCCTTGGATACTGTTTCGGCCGCGGGCTCTCTCAAGCGTGTCTGTTTCGAGCTCCCTTGGGCTGCTTCGGCCGCGGGCTCTCTCAAGCCGTCTGTTTCGAGCTCCCTTGGGTGCTGCTTCGGCGCGGGCTCTCACAAGCGCGTCTGTTTCGAGCTCCCTTGGGTGCTCCTTTGGCCGCGGACTCTCTCAAGGGTGTCTGTTTCGAGCTCCCTTGAGTGCTGTTTCCGCCGCGGGCTCTCACAAGCGCGTCTCTTTCGAGCTCCCCTGGGTGCTGCTTCGGCCGCGTGTTTTCTCAAGCGCGTCTGTTTCGAGCTCCCTTGGGTGCTGCTGCGGCCGGGGGCTCTCTCAAGCGCGTCTGTTTCGAGTTCCCTTGGTGCTCCTTTGGCCGCAGACTCTCTCAAGGGTGTTGTTTCGAGCTCCCTTGGGTGCTGTTTCGGCCGCGGGCTCTCACAAGCGCGTCTGTTTCGAGCTCCCTCTGGGTGATGCTTCGGCCGCGGGCTCTCTCAAGCGCGTCTGTTTCGAGCTCCCTTGGATGCTCCTTTGGCCGCGGGCTCTCACAAGCGCGTCTGTTGCGAGCTCCCCTGGGTGCTGCTTCGGCCGCGTGCTCTCTCAAGCGCATCTGTTTCGAGCTCCCCTGGGTGCTGCTTCGGCCGCGTGCTCTCTCAAGCGCGTCTGTTTCGAGCTTTTTGGTGCTGCTTCGGCCGCGGGCTCTCTCAAGCGCGTCTGTTTCGAGCTGCTTAGGTGCTGCTTTGGCCGCGGGCTCTCTAAAGCAGTCTGTTTCGAGCTCTTTTCGGTGCTGCTTTGGCCGCGGGCTCTCTCAAGCGCGTCTTTTTCGAGCTTCCTTTGGTGCTGCTTCTCTCGCCACCGCACGCGCACTCTCGCTCCCTCAGCGCTCACGCGCGTCGCAGAGCCGACGTCCGCCGACCCCACGAACAACGGCGCCCCCGCGAACTCTCGGCAAGGCGCAGTTGTGCCCTCTTCCGCGTACTTGCACCAGGAACGCGGAAGCTCGCAGTCGAGGGGGGCTTCCGCGCGGGAGTAGCCGCCGCGCCGCGCCGAGTCCGCGAGCGAGAAAGCCCGTCGGACCCCACGCGCGGCGCGGCGCCCACTGCCGCGCGGAAACCCAGGGGGCCGCGTCCAGCCTCCACGCGGCGGCCCCTGGGGAAGGCTACGCGGGCGACTCTGCACCCGCAAGGGTCGCGGTCGCGCGCGTAACTTTCGCGAAGGACGACTCTCGAATCGCGCTAATGCTGACATATCTGTTTCTGGGACGCACATCACTCACTCAGGCTGACGCCAGCACTCCTTTCCCCCTTGATAGGGGGGAGCGTGGGAGGTAGATCCCTAAACCCTAAAAGCAATGACTCTGGGTGGATGGGGTGGGACAGAACGCATCCATCCATCCCCCCCTACCTCCTGAGGAGGGGGGGATAGGATGGTTCTGCGCAGAAGCCCTAATCCCTAAACCCTAAACCCTAAACCCTAAACCCTAAACCCTAAACCCTAAACCCTAAACCCTAAACCCTAAACCCTAAACCCTAAACCCTAAACTGCCAGCCACGGGCGGTGCATCGTCAGAAGCCCGTGGCGCCTGGCCGAGCGATCAGCGAGTCCGCCCATGCGCGCACGCCGCACCGACGAAGCGCGTAGCGCTGAGGAGGATGCGCTCCCCCGCGGGGATGCCATGTGAGTGCTCCGAGAGATGAATAGAACCCTTAACCCTAGGCGCAGCCAAAGGCTTCGCTGCGCGCGCCTACATCCCCTGGGGCTCCAAACCTATGAAAATACAGCATGCGGCGCTCTTTCGGCCGTCCGTGGGGCCGCAAACCATATGAAATACAGTATGCGGCGTCCTTTCGGCTGGCGCACGTCCCAGGCGCTCCCAAGCGCTCCCAGGCGCTCCCAGGCGCTCCTAGGGGCTCCCCAGCGATCCCAGGCGCTCCCAATCGCTCCCAAGCGCTCCCAAGCGCTTCCAGGCGCTCGCAAGCGTTCCCAAGCGCTCCCCAGCGCTTCCAAGCGTTCCCAGGCGCTCCCAAGCGCTCCCCGGGGTTTTCGGCACGCTCCCAAGCGCTCCCAGGCGCTCCCAGGCGCTCCTAGGGGCTCCCCACGTATCCCAGAGGCGCTCCCAAGCGCTCCCATCGCTCCCCACCCACCCAACAAGGATAAAGAATAATGGGAAAGAAGAAATCGTTCCGGCGCTCCCAATCGCTCCCAGCGGCGCCCTCCCAGGCCGCTCCCGAGCCCTGCCAGGCGCTCCGCCAAGCGCTCCCAAGGCGATCCCAAGAAGGTCCCAAGCGCTCCCAGGCGCTCCCAGGCGCTCCCACGCGTTCTCAGGTGCTCCCCAACGCTCCCAAGCGTTCCCAGGCGCTCCCAAGCGCTCCCCGGCGCTTTCGGCACGCTCCCAAGCGCTCCCAGGCGCTCCCAGGCGCATGGCGCTCCCAGACGCTCTCAGGCGCTCCCGGCACGGTCCCAGGCGCTCCCCGGCGCTCCCTGGCGCTCCCAAGCGCTCCCAGGAAGGTCCCATCCCTTGGGGACTTTACATGTGAAAACACGCCTACGGCGGCCTCTCTGGCTGTGCTGGGGAGCGTAACGCACGTGGAAATACGCCCACGGCGGCCCCATGGGCCTTCTTGGTGTGCCATGCAAAACGTTATGCCTGCGGCGGCTTCTTCGGCTATGCTTTGGTGCCTTGCTGGTGCATCTAGCAGAAAACCGCGACGCGAAACAAGAAAGAACACAGATGCGCCGAACGGCTCCGCGGACCCAAGTGATTCGCCCAAGACCTCGTAGAGCAAGCCCCGAGGAGTTCCAGGGGCCCGTTTTTTAAGTCCCACGGGGTTTCACGGGGGGGAGCGCGAGGGGCACGCGCCTGGCGCCCTCTCGCACTGCGCAGTCCGCCGCGAAGGGCATCACACGACGCCTTCCGTGGCCATGTGCGAGGGGGCGCCAGACCCGCCCCCTCGCGCCCCCCCTCCCCGCCGTTTCGAAACTCCAGGGGTGTCGAGAACGTCAGACAATCTCTACGTATGCCCTTCCTGCTGCTTTCCTTCCCTTCCCCGACGTGGCACTGACAGACCGTCATTTTCCTCGCAGGAGTGCGCACGGTCGTGCCTTTGCACGCGACAGCGGGGCAGGCGCACCGCGTGGATACTGCGAGAGGCGAGCGGTCGCGCGCCAGCCAACGCGCGGCGCTCCGTCGGCAATCTCAGAACGCTGGTATGAAGTTGTCGCGCTCCACGTAGCCGCCAATCAGGTAGTCGTCCGACGTCGCGACACGGCTGAGCGCTGTATACCCCGCTGCTGGCCGAGGCCATCCGTCCAGGTATATAGTGATGTGGGGGAACTCGTCGCCTTGCACTTTGTCGATGGTGCTGGCGTACCCGAGGCGGATTGGAAAGTAGACCGCGTTGCCCTTCTCGCGATCTGTCCAGCGAGTGATGGCCAGACGATGGCCAGTCTTCGTCATCACGCGCAGCATGTCTTCCTCGGCGTGGTAGTTCTCCACCTCGCACAGCATGCCGTTGTCCTCGTCAGCTTCCTTGTTCTTGTTCTTCGTCAGGTACAACTTCATCCCCTTATAGATCGGCACTTTGCTTGGAACCAGCCTGCGGTCCGTGCGGAGCTTGCCATCCAGGTAGTTCTCGGGGTTCAGTTCCACGTCCCCGTCCAGCGAGGCCAGCGGGGTCTTGCGGCCGTACAGCGCAGCGACTGCCGCCTCGTTCACGGCCGCGGCGCCCCTGCGCGTGCAGGTGACGATCCGCGTGTCTGGGTGCTTCTCGAAGAGCTTCTTCATTTCGGCGGGCGTGGATCGCCTCTGCTCTTCCACGCCTTGTGATCGCGCACAATCTTGCGGAACGTCTCCTTCGAAGGCTTGTCTGTCCGAAGCTCGTCCAGGATCTCCTGGAAGCGCTCCTCCTTGCACCGCCAGGTCTCGGTGAGCTTCACGTGGAAGCAGCGCGGCTGCTTCCATGCGGCACTCTCCCACGGACGTGTCGGCTCGAACCCCGGGAGCTGGTACTTGTCTCCGAGGAAGACCAGCGCGGGGACTTTCCCAGCGACGCTCCACAGCTTCAGGATGCGCTCGAAACTGTCGCAGCTCAGCAGCGATACCTCGTCCACCACTACCAAGTCGAAGTCCGTCATCCTGTGAAGACTCTCCGAGATGGGCTCATGCAACTTGAATGCGGCGTGGCACGTATCGTTTGTTAGGCCGTCCAGGCCTTGCAGTGCTTGCTTCATGCGGCTGGACAGCTGCGCCGTCGGGAGGGCGAAGAGCACGCGCGCGCCTTGCTCCTGGGCGCGGCGAATGCAAGACTTCACCACGGTCGTTTTCCCCGTCCCAGGCTTCCCAAGGCAGATGACGGGCGTGTTCTTCTTGTATGCTTCCTCGCGCGCCTCGTCCGCCTCCTCCCAGTCCTCCGACAGCTCCGCCCGCACGGCACGGTCCACGCGCTCGTTGATCGCCTCCTCCAGCTGCAGCTGCTTCGGGTTGAAGTCGACCTCCTCCTGGCCCTCGCCGCGCGCTGGCCTGCGGTTGGCGATGACCGCGGCCTCGGCGTCGGCCGCGGCCTTCTCGTCGGCCTTGTCGATGATGCCCGTCAGGTACATGTTGATGAGCTTCCGCTGCCCCACGATCAAGTGATGCACAGCCTCGGTGAACTTGCTGGACTTCGCGGAAGCGCTCATGTAGTCCACGAGCCGCCTGCCATCGGTGAACAAGTCATGGTGCTCTTCAGCGACGCGGCCCTGGTCGGAGCACAGTCGCAGCGCCGCCGCGAGATCCTTGTATTTCTGCGGAACCAGGCGATTCACATCCTCGAACTCGAGCTCGCCGAGCGATCGGAACGGCACGTTCATTGCAGCCCACTGGCCGTAGTAGCGGTCAAAGAGCTCGTACACCGTGTCGACGCTGACCACCTTCTCGCCCTGCATGCTGTAGGCTCGCGCGAACTCCTTGAGGCTCGGAAAGTCGTCCTCGCCCTCGCTCTTTTCGTCTCTGTGCTTCTTCGCGAGGAACTCCTCGAAGGTCTTCGGCTGCTCCTCGTCTTCGGCGTCGGAGTCTTCGTCACTGTTCCCGCTACCTCCGCCATCAGCATCGGTCATGCCTTTGTGCTCAGCGCGCAGGAAGCGCCAGTGAGCGTCGAGCGCCTGGGGCTCCTCGCCCTCGGGCACGGTCGCGCGGTACCGCCTGTACAGGGCCAGCGCCAGCTCCTGCTTGTGCTTGCGCTTCAGCCATCCAGCGATGGCGCCGTCGTCAGTAGTCTTCCGAAGCCACTCCAGGAGCGTCATGCCCTCGTGGCGCCACGAGCAGTCAGCATACCTCTGGACCCAGTCGGGCACATCCGCCATGCCCTAGTAAGGCGCCGTCACGGTGCGGAAGCCGCCGCTGACCGTAGAGATGTCGTACTGTCTGAATTGCGCTCCACACAGCTGCAGGATCATCTCTGGCTCGTAGGGGTGGTACTCGAAGCAGACGCGCCTGGCCACACTGTCCGCGGAGGCCTTGTCGCTCATCCACTCGTCGTAGCTGCTGTCCGAGAACTTCGCCACATACTTGGACACGTATTGCAGGAGCATGGCCTCCCCGTCGCTGGTCTGCCAGTCCTGATGGCACGGGAGCCCGTCCTTTACGTCAGCGCAGTACGCTCGGAGGCCCGCGTCGTGATCCTCCTCGGTGTGCTTCAGCTGGAGGACACCATCGTCGCCGTGCACCCCCGACGGGCCGTGGTAGATCGGCCACTTGCTCTCTGCGTCGCCGTGCTAGTTGAGCTGCGATCCGTCCACATAGCCCTTCAGGTCGTCCGAGAAGCCGTGGGGCTTGGTCGCAAAGAGGTGATGCTCCAATCCCATGTTCGACATGGCGTCGTCGTCCGCGAAGAAGAGGACGTGCAGGTGCGGTCGGCCAGAGCCGTCGTAGCGCTTCGTGCCCTCCTTGCGGCTGCCGTCCTGGAACTCCAGCCGCGTGAACGTCTGGACGCGAACCTGTTTGCCGTCGGCGTCTGTCGCGGCGAACACGTGCGTTGTCCAGCTGCGGCCGCTGCGGTCCATCGTCTGGTTGTTATTGCCCGCCAGCATGCCTCGGACGATCTGCATGAGCACATGCGACATGTGCAGCGTCTCCCCCACGGGGAGGTACATGCGGGTCCGCAGTGTCTTCTCCATCTCATCGCGCAGCCAGTCGTGGTACTTGAAGCACGGCTCCCACGGCGCAATGGTGAAGAACAGCTTCGGGAAGCCCACCTGGCGCACGAGGTCGACAAGGGCGTTGTGCACCTCCTTCCAGTAGAGCGGTGAGAAAGTATGGCCCTTCAAGAGCATCCGCATCGGCACGTTGTCGAGCCCCAGGTTCTTCTTCGCACCGAGCGTCGCCCAGAGGTTCAGGTCGTACACGAACTGGAGCAGCTCGAAGTTCGATCCGTAC